TGTCCTATAAAGCATCCACTGATTTCAACTGCAATCACGGTGCTCAGCATCTTTGGGAAAAGCCAGGTAGTCAGTCCGTGTCTGCCTCATCTGTAAGGCAGGGCTAAACACCTCCCTACCTTCCAGAGGCACCAGGATGCTAAATTCATTAGCAAAGTACCTTCAGATGTGTGGGTAGAAAGTACCAAACAAGGTCAGAGTGTTATTAATGGCACTGAAAAAGAGCTGTCACTGATTTTGAGATCTCAGATGCAGTTTGTCCGCTTTAATTTCCCGTATCCTGTGTTTACAGGATATCAGCTGGGAAGCCCTGAGACAACTCACTCTATTACTTCAAAACAACTGTTGAAAACCCCACATAAACCTAAAAAATTGAAGTTCCATTGGACAATGACTCTGTCAGATATGAACAAGGCAGGAAGATGAGTTAGACAAGGAGTCCCAAGGGAGGGGAACCCCTTTGGCAATTCTTGCAGACAGCAGGGCAGTAACACACAGGATCCCTCACTTGGTTTTGGAAGGGAGGAATTTTTATACGGTCTTAGTCCCTCACAGCTCTTTTGTGATATACTAGTAGACACACTCGATTTGCCAAAAAAGAGTCTAATCAGGTCCTACTGACTGGAGTCTTAAGCAGCTCAATTATTTAATGCTGACTGACCACTAGAAGAGAGGGATTTTGAAATGTGTCCCTTACAGTCATGTGCAACAGTCAAAATGGCAATGTGTATAACCCAATGTGCAAATGTAAGCGTTGAGCTAATGTACGTATGAAATACAAGGCCGCTTCAGTTGCGTATCTTATTGCCTAATTTTGTTCTGGATGCTTCTCTTTGTGTTCTGAAGATCTCTCCTGCCCCAGCAATACATCTCCAGGGTACCTCCTTTTCCCACCTAAATCCATCCCAAGATCCTATTTCTAGGAAGCCTGTTGGAAAGAGATACATATCCTTCTTATATCTGCTGATTGGTGTAAACCAAAGAAAATAAAGTAGTAGCAGTAAACAACCAAGACGAAAATTCAAGCTGTGCTGAGCCCTGGGCTCCTCAAGCACACTAGTACCTGCTCGTCTGTCTTAAATATTGTAAAGTCTTAGGGCAGGATCAGCTTTACATTGATACAAATATCAAAGCTGTCATTATCATTAAACAAATGACAGCCTGTCTGCAAGGGTCAGCCTTTTGCTGGAATGAAACTGCACAACATATTTGGATACAGAGCACATGCAGATGCTGTTAAGCCTTTCCTGCACTGGTAACACATAACCTTTCAGCTTTATTTCAAGAGACATATTCTCTCCTAGCACTGGAGTGCAGCTCAGTGCCTGAGAGCATGAAGGGGCTTGGAGAGGACCTCTCATTCTCTCCTCTGGAAGGAGAGGCTACCTGAGCCTTTGTTCCTCCCTGGCACTCAGAGACTGCATTGCTGCAAGGGCCAACAGATGACACGGTCCTACACATCCCCCTCCTGATGGAAAAGAAATCAGTGATTCAGCATCTGTTTATTTTCCTCTTCCAGCTGCAGGTAGATGCACAGCACGATGTGCTGAGCTACAAAACTCACACCATGCACACAAGCCTTGTCATCTCCCAAAACCCTCAGCCCTAGCTCCGTGTGTGTATTCCATAAGGCAATATTATCTCAGGGATTAAGTCCAGACACAGAGTGAACTACCTGGCTCTCTAGAACAGCTCTCTTCAGAGCCATCTACAAAACAAATAATGCAGTACTTCCTTAGAGGCTGAACACTGCATATACCAATGGAGAAATAAACCAGATAAGACCTGGTAAGACTGCAGCAGCAGCATCTGGTGATGATCACCACATCACAGCGAGGAAATGTTCTGATTTCAACACTTTCTTTCAGACCTTTTGCTGGTCCCACTAGAGGCCCTTTCATGGCAAGACTCTGAAGCCACGTTTGCTGAGTTACTCTGTTCTGTCCCTGACACACTCTGGACACGATCACAAACCATCAAGAAGCAGATGTCCTTATCCAGCTTGCCAGCACTGAAGGTGAAAGTTTATTACTGTCTCTTTGCATTTCCCTTGATATAAACAGGAAACAACCAGCATTAGACTCACTAAATAAAAAGCCAAACCAGATAGGCAAGGCAGAAGATGCCTCTTTTTCCATACACACCCTTTTCCCTCTCATTCACATACAAATTACTGTTGTATCCAGGTGGGAGGAGAGTTCGAAGAGGGGAGGGGGGAAGAAATGTTTGCCAAATAGGTTGAGGGATCAGAAGGTAGCTTTCTCATAAAGAGCAGGGCTGACCCACAAACTGCGAGAAAACCTCAAACTCCGCAAGAGTTTCCCTCCTCCCCATTTTCAGGGTGAGAGCAGCCACAGCAGGGAATTGGTAGGCAAGTAAGGGGTCTAACCAGGTCACTCCACCCTTCTCTTCCCGCCTGGAGCATAACATGGGAGGGAAACAGACCTGAAATGTCGGCCATCTACAAAGACTAGGGGAGAGGCTTAAATGATGTGAGATTTATGATCTTCAAAGTGATTAGTGCCCAGCACTCCAAATAAAGTCAAAGAGAGCTCAGCAGCTCTTGCATTCAGTTTGGAGTTGGGTTTCCAATCATGCTTCTCTGGCTTCAGTTTGAAAACTTGAATTGCAAGGTAATAAAAAAAAAAAAAAAGCCACCCAAAACCAACCTCAAACCCCAAAACAACATTAAAAAACCCCACCAGCCTCCACTCCTAATGAAAGAGCTCAGCACCTGATTTTACTTGAAAATGCTTTGATATTTCCCTATCTCCCTTCTTCCTTTCTCTCGTCATTTGAAATCTATTTGTTGAATTGAAGATGAATTCGCCAATAGCTGAGGTCAACCTGAAACGTGAATGTATAATCTGCGCGCATTTGGGCTCATGCTCATTTAAAATAACAAGAATAATGGCTCAAGTCTACACATGGGCCTTGAGAAGGCCAAGAGAGGGAGACAAAGAGCCATTTGCACACGCCTGTGTCCACTCGCATGGACTGTTACAACTTCATCCCTGACATCACTGCAAAACTCCTTCTGTGGACACTACCTATGTTCCGGGGAATCACACCAGATTAAAAAAAAAAAAAAATTAAAATGAGCCTGTTCACAGGTTTTTGCTTTTTAAACCTTGGTAAGTCCCCAGTCAGGTTTGCTACCCAGTTACACAAACAGACGTGCTGGCATAAATGAACGGGCTTTTGGGGGACCCCTTCGGTGGAAGGAGAGAAACAAAAGTGGGAAGTGAATGCTACAAAAGGCTATCATAAAAACACAATCTCTTTCTGGGAGGGGGATGTTTCTATCAAGACAACTCTGGTCCAAATCCTACTGACTGTGAGGTTGTCTGCCCCTACAACTTTACCAGCACCTGCTCATTCAGTGGCGTGCAGAGGACTAGGAGCTTAAAGATAATGGGTTAAATCAGCAGCGGATGTAAATCAGCACTGCTTCACCACAGTCAATAACGTTTCCTTGATTAACCTCAGCCCAGCTTCCAGTTCTAACATCTTTGTGGTGTTGCCATAGGAAAAGTTTGCAACGTGTAAAGATCTTGTACTTTCATAGCTTATTTCTATCTTGAGGGAATTTTCTTTTATCACTAGTTATAAGCAGATTGGAGTCTTCTCTTGGCGTGTAGAAAGCCTGTGCTTTGGGCTCTGCAATCCACAGAGCTGGAGACACAAGACTTTTTGTTTTCAGCTGGGTATTCCAAAAACCTGGAAGATGGCTGAACGTGTTAAGACACCTTTGATAGGAAGTTACGACCCACCCAAAACCAGAGCAGCCAAACGAAACAAACAAACAGCAGCTTGCTGACATCTGTCAGACAAAAGTCACCAAGGTAAGCCTGAAGGACAGAAAATCATGGCGAGAAGCTTCAGCTGCCCACCTGCTGCTAGCAGGAAGCCTTTGCAAAGGATTGCAACCCTTGAACTCGGGGAACGCACGTTTGGAAGCAGGCAGGTTGCTGTACGGTTAAGAGTGCCAACATCTGCTTCAAATGCTAGTGACTGCCCGTGGAGTTACAGCCCCTCTTGCTTTCCTCGCTCCAGCTCCCCAGCCAGCCCCTGGTGTCCTGCAGCAGATCAGTGGGTTAGCTCTCCAGACCTCCTCGTTTTCTTTACAAGGTCTGAGTCCAGCTCCACTGATGGCCACAGGAGTCCTTAGCTCCGGACTCAGAGAGCATTTTCTCATGTGTCTGCACAGATTCAAGATTTATGCATTCTGGAGAGCTGTCACCTTCCTCTACTTGCAGTTCTGATGTGAGATTTGGGGATTTGTTAGAGCCACATATGAAAATCTCCAGGCACCTGCTGAGACAGGGGGTGCTTTTAGCTGCATGAAACAGGAGGGCAACAGCAAACACAGCAAAGACAACGGTCCCTCACAGGTTCATTTGCAATTAGAGGGCTTGCTTGCCCTGCAAGAAGCACTTGCTTTTATCTGCTGTCCCTTTCCCCACTGGCTTGCAAAGAGGAATCTGCCGTTGTAGGCAGGCCTGGTCTTGACCTACGCACTCCAAGACCTCAAACCACCTCATCTTCCATCCTTGCTGATACTCCTGTGAGTCAGCCCCGTGCTCTCTGGCTTGCATACCACAGTGCTTTCAGCGCCAGTGTCACAAGCAGTAGAAACGCATGGGGCTTTGGGGCGGGATTCGCACATTTGCCAGTGTAACTGAGGTCCCTTTTGTTTCTAAATGATGATGGAAAAAATTAAAAAGCCAGAAAATGCCTCAAGCAAATGGTGATTTAAAGAAACTCTATAATTAACTGAACTTCTATGAAATAGGAAGGCCTGGAAACCAGAAGCTTAATCTGCCATTCTATCCCACAAGGGGAATCGGGAAGAACTTATGTGGTCTGTTTAATGGTAGCTTCTGACCTAACAGTTTTTATCTCTTAGCAGTAGCTGCCTGGCACTCAGCAAGATGAGCAATTAAAAACAGTAATTCAAGAAAGCAGGAGAATACCTGGTAACCCAGGGAGCATCTTACCTGCCTGTTAAAGTCCAGCCCATTCTGTTCATTTCCTACAATGAAACAAAGAGGAAAAAATATCTCAGTTTTAATGACGGTCAGCATTGATGTAAACTTTCCAGACCTTAGAACACACATAACCAAAGACAGGTCGCTAGCTCAGCTCAGTTTACGGTAAGAGCAAGGAGAGGAGGAGGAAGGTGGAGTCAATGCAAATACAACAATGGAAGTACAAAGGCAGCCTTTGCAACATTTGGTGGTATAAGCCTTTGCTGAAATGTAACAGGAGTGCTTCTGCCTGGGAGATAGCTGGCCAAGCAGCAAGGGTGGGGGAAAGCTCACTGACTGCAAGGGAGATTCCAGCAGAGGTGAGCTGGAGGACATTGCAAATCTCCAGGGAAATCCAGACCAAGGCACTGTACGTAAAGCAAGAACTAACTGTGGGAGAGGCCAGCAAACAGGTGGCCGAGGCTGTTAACCAGGGATCTTCAGGAACCCGTGTGGCACTGAGTAATTACGGGATATCTAAAGGAACAGAGGGTGCTGTGGGGTTGTGCTCAAGAGGCGTCTCCTTGATTCCAAAAGAGATTGGCAGGCACAGGGGGAAAAAATCAGACAGGTTTCAGCCTGAAGGTACCGCACAGGCCCTCACTCATTCCCCTTTGATGATAAACTTCCCCCCCCCTCCATCACACCTGCCAAATTCATCAAGAACATCACAGAGGAAAGGTTGTACGCTCCACAGATATGAATGCTTTAAGGGATTCCACGAAGCCTCTTTAGTTGCAAAGGCAGCCCCAATAAACCCCTTCCCTTCCCTTTGCAATCCACTCCCTAAGTCATACTCTTCCAGTCCAACTGAGTTTTTGATAAACAGTCTTAAATTGTTCACATCCCACCGGCACAAGCCCCCAGGGCCTCCTCCTCCTGTTTTTTCCAGTATAACCTTCCCCATAAATTGTAGCCCGTGCTCTGTGATCTGATCAAGCTTCAACACATCATGTTTTTCAGTTCACATCTCTTGCAAAAAGTTAGAAAGCAGTTAAGTGAGGCTGTGCAGACAGGAGTGCAAATCCAACTCTCCCATTGACTTGCTTTCGTCAATTAAACAAGTCTCTACCCTAATCTAGCATACAGTTTTTCAGCTTGCACCATACACATAATATTCCCAGGTGAATCAGCATGGTTCTTTGAGATCCTTGGAGGGAGCATGCTTGGTAGAATTATTCACAGATGGCAAAATATTTTAGAGTCAAGGATAACAATTTAATGGCACCATGTTCTCTACTATCTAGAAACAGCTCTGGAGATCTAATCTGCAACCTGTTAACAGCATTCACTGTGGAAACTGAGCTGCCTTTGAGCTGTCTTTTTTGCTCTTGTTAGGCTGAGCTGTAGGTCTTTGCTATCAAACAATACCAGAGCACTATTTCACAGCAGAACAAGCCGTTGCCCTCCTCGCTCTGAAATCTCCTCTATCTTCTCACCACCTGCAACTTAACCTAGATCCAGCTCTGCACCTTCTCCCCTAACCTGTCTGCATTTCTGCTGTGCTAGAGCCCATCTTCCTCCCGACCTGCTTCTCAAAGCTTTTTCTCTTCCCAGTCTCAGGCCTTTATCTTCTTCCATGTAATTCCCTGCTCTACTACAACCTCCAACTTGCCACGCGCTTCCGTACTCCTGTGCCTCTCGCTGTAACCAACTGCTCCCTGACCACCTCTCTCCAGCTGCTCCCACCCAAGGAATTTGTTCATTCATTGCGTTCCAGCTCTACGCCCCAAGAGCCAACAACTGCATATATAACGATGGGAATGCTGATAGCGTTAACAGATGATCACAATCAGTATCCACACACCTGAGCAGGACTGTGTGAGGATCTTCAAGGCCTGCAGTTTCTACCTTTGAAACCCATGGAGAGTTGATGCAATCTAAAGGCAGTAGCTAAAGGGAAGAAAGGCAAGGAGGACAGAAGGAGGAAATGAAGTTCTCAGTTGCTAAAATAGAACAGGAAGGAAAAGGTAATCTTCTGGTTTCTTGGATACAAGAGTTCCACTCACGTTCAAATGCTGCGTGTTGATGAGGCAAGATTCAAAGACCTTGAGGGAAATCCCTAGGTCCCAGTGATGATGGCTCTGAGTCACTATCATACACCCCAAATCTTGGAACTTGAGATGCACTCCTGGAACAGTTTCACTTCACATCACCAGCACCAGGCCCAAGTTCTCCAGCATATTCTTTCCTCCTTTTCCAAGCTTCTCATCTCTTATTTTTACCTCTCTTCACAAGCACATGCAGCTGACAGACCTCTACTTTTCTTTTTCCCTTCCTCTCCTACAAGGTCAGACACAGCTTCATCAAAGTCCTACCTTCTGTTCTCTTGCATATCCCACTGCAGATCAACAGAGGTGTTTGGGAGCACTTCAGCCACGTATTTTGTGACAGTGGAGCATACTGCAAATATGCATGGAGGCTGACATTAACTCAGTCGTAGCTTGGGTGTCTAAGTCTGAGATAACTGCCCCAGGCCGTCTTGGTAGACAGCAAGGAGAAATAAGCATCTCCAGAGGCCATTCATCATCTGACCTATCTTAGACGCCTATCTTAAGTTGAGATGAATGGCCCTCTGGAGATGACTATTTCTCTTTATTGACTACAAAGGGACCCAGGGGCAACTAGTTCAGACTTAAGATGTCCAATAGTGAGATATTTAAAACTGGGTGAGGTGATTTCTAACTCCCAGTGGTTATGTAAATGGGAGCTGGATACACAAATCTCTTCAGTGTGTCAGCAGGACCAGTGAGTGTTTGTGCACAGATTTATTTGCAAACAAATCTCGGCTTTTTTCACTTCAGTAAAAGCTTATGTTTGAGTAAAATTAAAATGAAACGAGCTGCAAGCCAAGGGTTGGGTGTGATAGGGATAACAACTCTCCCCTTTCAGTTATATCAGTAACTTTCCTACAAATATTTTTAAAATAGACTCAGTTTCCTGAGTTTCTATCAACATCAGGACTTACACTGAAGCAGTCATTTCTCTCCTTAAAGGAACGGGCTGTTCAAACAATGAGAATCTGCACTTAAGATTTAATCTTTTCTAGCTCCAGGAGATAAAAAGAAAGAAAAGTGTAAGTGGCAGCAGATTCTCGGCTGCTGTAAACTGCCAGAACTCCACTAATTTTAATGGAGCTTCACACCAGCCAACAACTTGCCTCTTGCCACACCAGTCAGACACAATGGGATCCAAAGTCTCCAGCGTCTACTAGACGCAGTCCTCCCCTCCTTAAATTGCTTCAAACTGGGGAAGCCCTGGGATTTAAATGGAGAAAGATTGCTTTGAGCCCCTTGCACTACAGTTCCCAGGAGCTTCCCCATCAAAAAAGCCTTCAGCCCCCTCTTTATGGGTGTTCCAGACAGGGGGGGAAAGGCAGCGATAAGCTCAGCTGGCTCCCTGCAGCACAGCAGACAGGGACTGTGCTGCTCTCCTTGGTTCACCTGGCAGCTGTTTTGCATAGCACTGGCATCAGATCTGGTGCGAGTTTGCCTGGGGAGGTTTCTCTGGGGATGGGAGCAGCAGAACAGTTCCGGACAGCTTCCCCCCACCCGCTGCTGTTCCCCCTGCCTGGAACACCGCATTTGCTCTGAAAACCCAAGACATGCGCTCTATCAGAGCCGACATGATTCCCACTGGAAGCTGCCAAGCCAGTCCGGCACTTGAGGATTAAAGCGCTGTAATGGGAGAAAAGTAAAATCAAGATTGCAGTGTGCCTTCATCTTCACAAGGCAAACACATGCAGCAACATGCAGATGTCACCTACGGGGAGTGACAGCGCCCATGGCTTTTCGCCCAATGACAAAAGCAGGGCTGCAACCAGAAGGCTAGCCTTATCCCCCTTCCCACCCAGGTACACACTTAATTCACCTCACAGTTTGATCTCAGCTGCACAGAAGGGACAGGGAATTAGAAGGTGATTTCAATCTTTAGCAGGTGTTGGGGAATTCCCACAGGGAATCAGTTTTCTGCCACGTGCATTTGGGAGGGAAATTCAGAACAGCTGAATGGTGATGGAGGAACAGCGCCAGGCAGACACCAGGCAGGAGATTCAGCTGCCTTCGTTAGATGTCTAACTTTTAGGTGTCTAATTCTGAGCCAATTGCTCTAGGCTCCCTTTACAGCCAGGGAGAGGAAGCAGGCACTTCCAGAGGGCAATTCATCTCGCCCCTGAGATAGACAGCAGAGAGCTGAATCACCTTCTGGAGATACCTATTTTCATCATTGACTGTACAAGGAGCCTGGGGTGAGTAGGTCAGACTTCAGCCTCAAAGTATTAAGTATCTAAAATTCAGATTAATCTCACCTATCCTGAAGATTTTAGCACTCCAATTGCTAAAGCACAGTGCCATTAGAGATTGACAAAGCAGGCCAGATGCAGAATGCCTTTCAATGTATGTTTTCTAGAAGCTGTGAAATTAAATTGCTCACATTAACTGAGAGAAGAATCAAATCTCTCACCTCAACACATGAAGTTAAAAGATTACTTGAGAGCAGCTAAAGAAAAAAGTGGCAACAATTATTGTAAGTATGAACAATACTGGACCCATATGCTGTAAATGAAGCAAAATGCTCACCTGCACTGAGAAGGATGTGGTTCTATTAAGCAAAAGAGATATTTAGCATCAAATACACTCCTCAGGATTTCAATTCACTTTGAAGATGCAAGCAAATACCAAGTCATAGCCCTCACGCTACTGTTCCCAGCAGTCACACCAGCAACTTCTCCAGAACTAGCAAGAAAAGCCCTGTGTGATAGGAGCTCACTTAAATCACCTTCTCTCCACTTTAGTGGCTACCCCTGATTCTCTCCAGCTGTGTCCAGTGGCACTGGGGAGCAGAAACTGCAGCTGAGCAGACACCAGTCAGTTCCTGGATCCTTATGTGCCCAGCTGGGATGCTTGCTGTTCCCAAGGCTTACCTTACAAAGTGCTTTTTAAAGGGAGCAGGGAAAAGTGCGAACAGGATGGGGAGTTTTTGAGGCAGCCAGGTAGGGCTGCAGTTT